TTTTATTTAAAATGCCAGCAAAGTTAATGTGCATCATGATAATATCTAACCACACATTTATTAAATAACTTTGGTTGTAAAATTTTAAATTTTATGAAACTACTCGTACTAAAACTATAATTTTGCTTCATTAAAATTCATTCACCTTTTTTTCCAATTTTGTATGTGCGTAAATGTTGTTTTTAATTACATGATTTTTTGTTTCTAACTTAGCAAAAAATCACAAGATTCCATACTTATCTACCAATTATAATTAAGTTATCTGAATGGCGCCACATTAAGTAAAATATAAAAGATATAACAAAAATAAAAAAATAATCACTGATAATGTTATATGCTTCACGATTTTAAACTCGTGATCTTTCCATAGGGTGTCCTTGTGAGTATCATAAATTATCACAACAATGTGTAATAAGTAACTATTGGAATAATGGCTTATCAGCCCATATATCAACATGGGCATTTAGCTTTATGAATGCCCTGAAGATCGCACGCTACTTTGTAAACACCTTTACCACGCATCACTTTCATGCGAGTTTAAAACGGGATTTGTAACCCTAGTTTCAACGTGTTTCAAAGAAACCGTAAATGTCGCCTCTATAAAGTACCTTACTTCGTTGTTTCAGCGTCTATTTTCATACGGGCGGGTAATTTTTCCTGGAGTGAAAAATGACGTTTCTATTGGCGGTGTGGATACCTGTAGTTTTTTTTATAAGCTTGTTTTTTTTTTATAACGTGGGTGGGTAGGGTATTAGCAAAATATGGTTTATTTGTATTACTTAACCAGCTAAGTTCTGTAGAGTAAGAATCAGTTTAGCTAACTTCGCATTACTGTATGAAACCTGAAATAAATATATTTTACTCATCCTGCTGACAGTGATGATCGTTTACTAGATATGACTCTTATTTGAAGATTTAAGTGCTTGTATGGTATTGAAATGCCATATTTGTAACGCATAATATTTACTTAAAATGTAAATAAAATATACAGTTTCAGAAATACAATGTTATCTTCATTCTCGTTTAAGTCACAATTTGGTTTTATTTTTATTTTCGGATTTATGTAAGTACCTACCTACTACCTACAATGTCAATGAAATGTGTGTGATAAAAATACCTACCTTTCGTTTTCTACCTACCTACTTAATTAGTTTTTAACTTTTTGGTCGTAACGTATTTTATCTTAAAGAGATCTTAATATGTACATTTGAAAAAAAAATAAGTAGAGCAATTAAATAAATATTCATTGTTAAAACTACACGTTCCTTTTACCACAAACCTGTTTAAAAATTATCTTATTTGATCAAAACAAAAACGTACTTTAAAATCCGAAAAATCAGACGCAAAATCGAGATCAGAATAAACATCGCATAAAAAATCAGATTTACTCTCGATATTATTATAAAATGAACACCGTGAAATTTATGTTGGTCCATTCAATGCAGGATTGCAACCAAGTTGTAAACGCCGCCGCATTTGTTCCCCATATAAGGCAAAAGAATTCATATGTTAAATTGAATACGCAAATACGTTAAATTTATGTAAAATATCGCGCAAGCTTTCTGCTTTTTCTTGACGGAAATTGCCCGTTGCCGAGGTTATTAAAGATTACGAATAATGTAAATAACTGCTTGAATTAACAAGAAAGGCAAGTATTTAACAAAATTGCAGTTTTCGCGGTATTGAGTAACTTGCGGATTTAAGCGAATGAATTATACTTAATTAATCCATTTTGGATTGTTTCATTATACCTATTATCATTGTTCTTAATAATCCTGAAAATATGAAATAAAACATTTTCAGCAGTCTTTTTGTTTATTAAAGTTCTTCAATTTTTACAAGTTGTGTACCGTCTCTATTGACTTAGTATAATAACCAAAATACTATTGCTAAGTTTTTAGTTTACCTACCTGCTGCCATATTTGACAGCTAGATATTAACAACTCAGAAATGCGTCAATTTCGAAGTTAAGTAGGCACCTAACTACTGTTTGCAAATACAGAGGTTACTATGCTCGTCCTGCTAATTGAATTTGTAAACACACGTGGGAATCATTAATTTTACTATCGACAAAGACACGTGAGCTTACAGAAAGAACTCTGTAAGCTCAGGTTAACTTACTAAAATAGCATTATAAAATTGGCGAATATGTAGTTCGCTATCAAGAACACCTGACTACTATACCTACTAATGTATTCGAACAAATTAGGAAATACCCAATTTAACATCAAAGTTTATCTACCACTTAATCATGAACTCTACCTATTAAAAACTGTCGCTAATTAAAACAAAGTTCTTCTGGCTTCATCTTTTTCTCAGTCGTAAAAAGCCGACCGGAACAATAATTTAAAAATCTTCCTTCACATCCATCCCTGCCACTGTCATGTTGATGACAAACGCCTTACCATATTCGTTTATTACTTCCATTAGTCGATTAATGATATGAATATTAATTCATTCGGAACACATGGCAACACGAGGATTCAGATCAAATGAAATCATAAATAATGTGCCACAGTAAAACCCGATTACAAAAATCGACGCCGAAGAGTCTACCCGTGATGGCCGCACTATTTCAATTTGGGACACTATTCTGTATATTAATGAGGACCATTATGCAAATTTAAATTAAACGGAATAGTGTTCCAAGTAATCCAACGTCGGTATAAATCGCTATTTCTCTTTAATTTTTTTATAATTTCAACATTTTCCTCGTCTTTTTGTCTCGATTCGCACCTGGTCAATGTTTCCTAAGTCAAGCGGACGAATCATTTATTCGTATGATTTTTATAATGTCATTTACAGACCATATTCTAGAGGTGGTGTATTTTTCCATAAGATAATCCATTTTAATACCTTTTTTTATTTATTAGATGTTTTATTTTTAAGGTCGGCAAGTGTTGATAATTCTGATATTCAATGATTTAATTGGAATCGTAAACAGTTGGAGACCGCTGTATCTTTTTATACAAGCCAACATCTTTAAATGGTTCTTATGTATGTAATTTCAAATCAAGTTTCACGCGGTTTAACGTGTCTCGACCGTTTGTTTTATCTAAAGGACATTATGTAAATTTTTCATACCTCTTTTTGGACATTAACTTTTTCGAATGTTAAGTAAATGTATGAATCATAATGTTAATGGCTTTAAGTAAGTATCAAATTAATATCGTCCGGGGTTACATACTTGACCTGAGATTAGTAATAGTTATCTTTATTTTTGCTACTGTTAACAATATTATTTCTCTATAAGTAGTTTAATAGCGCCTTTCTAAGTAACTGTATCTGAGTAAAAATAAGATGGTCTGCAGTTTTCTGTGTTATAATATTATATTTCAACCGTGCGATGTTGAGACATGGAAGGGAGGCTTATGTTCAGCAGTGGACATCCTGTGGCTGAAATGATGATGATGATGATGAAAACACTACACCATAACTGTGTACTTTTCCAACTAATAGACTTCAATGATATTTAATCGAACACAGCTAAATTGTTTTACATTTAATGCCACTCATTGCTTTAGTAATAATATTATCTTTATTAAAAACAATCTCGGTTTATTAATTAACAATTTTTTGGTATTTTCCTCAATTACACAAAATTAACAAAATTGCATAAAAATTGGTTGATCAAAACTTGCCTTTTTAAATAAAATTGATTGGCCACGGGCGCAGTCGTTTAGCATGCCGAAATTAAATCATTTTGTCATATAACTAGCTGTGAACTGCTATTTATTACTCTAATTTATCGCGCAGCGTGAACTGTCATTAATATGTGAAGGTTCAGTGACCCAAGATATCTATTTCGTATTCAGAAATATAGATCTGAACGAGTTACCAAATAGGGGCAATTGAGGCACTTTTTTACAACTCGGTTTTCAAATCAAAAGTTCAGTTTTTCGATTAGGTTGTTGGAGTCGTTGTACAAGAGTCTTTATTTCAAATTCAGGATTGTATGTGTGTCTACCTATTTGAGTAAAAAGCCTATAACAACTTACACACAGAGAATGTAGCAAATGTGTATCAATCAAATTCTCACATTAATCCTACCTAACTAGTAGGTACAAGTGTTATAGTCAGACTGAAAGTAGAGTCACGAAGTTGGAGCATGATTCAAAATTTATTTTTCTTCAACTTGTTTATTTACAAATGAGTTTCACGAGTCTTGTGTATATCCTACTCCTACTTATATTATAAATGCGAAAGTTTGTGTGGATGTTTGTTACTTTTTCACGCAAAAACTACTGAACGGATTTTGATGAAACTTTACACTATTATTGTTTATAACCCACAATAACATATAGGCTATAATTTATGACTCTTCTGTGGCAAACTGAATTTCACGCGGTTGAAGCCGCGGGCAACAGCTAGTTCGCTATATTTTTGCAAATAAATGTCGTGATGTTAGCTCCATCTAACAACCTTTGCGGGAAGACTCTACATTGTTATCAACTGCTGTTACTTCGATAGTGAGTGTAGTGGAAGTTTATAAATGAAAAGAGTGCGTCAGGATCGTCTTCTTAGATGTTCGCTCGCGAACCGAACATTGCTCGTTCGTTCGCCGAACGCTCGCCGCTCCCTCCGGTCACGCCGCCCGCGGGCAATGTCCGAGAGTCAGACAACTGCTTTTATATGAAAGAAAAGTTTTTGTTCTGTCTCTTTTATAAACATAATACTTACCATTGATACCTGATACAAGCTCCATCTATTGGTGATCGTTGAAAATATCTGTAGGTGGAGTGGTTTGGCTGCTTAAAAGTATCTACCATGAAAAAGGTTTTCCATGAAAGTTCGCTAATACTGCGTGCCAACAGATGGCTTTAAGATCGCTGTTCTGTATCCTGTTACGAATTTTTTCTCGGAAAATTCAAGATTTTCAAACATTTTTAATTTTGGTTTTGTAAAAACTAAGCATTGAGGAGGAAAAATATACTCGTATATAGGTAGTAGTTATTTAAGAATCAATACAACAAGCATCTCAGTTAAATACAAAATATATTACCAATAAATAAAACAAATAAAACTACATGCATTCAATAAAAACTGGGTGACAATTATTCAATTGATCGTCGAATATAGCTCTAGCTAAAGGAGCGTGGCTGTTTCTAAGTTTCACTTGGGTTCTGTTATTGAGCAATACGTCGCTAAATGGATCCACCAGTACGTTGTTATAGGGGTGCGGTTTAAATTTATTAGATATCTCAAGTTCCTTCGCATGACCGCTAATGAAGCCCAATTCCCTGCAAATCGCTTCGAGCTCTGATTTCGAATGCTTCTTGTTAGGGTAGCATTTCGTATGCCACACGCCATGGGAGCGCACTATTACTTGTCCTTTTCCATACCTAGAACATGAGATATAATATTTAGTATGATTTTAAAAATCTATATATCTGATGTGTGGCTTTACTCAAGTTACAGAAGTGTATCAAGTAAGGGAAAATAATCAATTGTCCAAAATACCCTTTTTAGAGCCAAAACTTTTCATAAAAGCGATCATTCTCATAATGATCATAGTGATTAATAAAAAGTTTTCGTCGAATGGACGGCCCTCATTAATCAAGGATCTTCAAATAAACGCCAAAGATGTCACAAGAAACTTCTGAAGTCACGTTTCGCACGTTTTGCACCGTTTGAACTTCAGGCGTAGGCAAAATGGCGTCTAGTCCGATTGTACAGTCAGCGTCGAATAGTTCGTGACAACCAAATTGGCCAAAAAGTTGACAACACAACCTTATTTCAATTGTAGTAAATTATTGCGAACTTATCGACTACTTTGAGTGTCACGAACTATTTGATGCTGACTGTACCTAAAAACCTAACACCTAAGGCCCAGAATTGACGGTGAAACTCAACTGAAACGAAACTGCAACGAGACTGCAACTTCTAGTTACTTTTGAGTTGCATCTAAGTTTCATTCCATTGAGATACCACACATGACGTAACCAGTTTGAAACCGGTTTGAACTCAAAAGTAATTAGAAGTTGCAGTTTCGTTGCACTTGCTTTTCACTGTGTGTTCTGGGCCTTAGAGTTTAGAATTACTTTGATTACGAAATCATTGTATCCTTGTAACTTAAGACGTCCAGCACATCAATATATCGCAAAAAAGCGTTTCTTAATCAATTTAGAACTTACTACCTCTACATTAAAACTTTTAAAGTAATTCGGGAATATTTTCGCTTTATGCTAGAGTGATATGCTGGCAAACTTTATGAATAGGTACCGTAAAAAGTCATTGGCATCAGTAAGAATGGATTTGACTAAAGGAATTCCACCTACCCCGTGCCTTGTGGGGCATATAGACCAACGCAAGTACTTTCGTCCTCGCCATTGGGGCAATCGTTGATACCATCACATACAACGTCTGGGGCAACACAATGTTCCACATCAGCTGTTCTGCCGCATCTAGAAATGAAAGAAAATTATTTAAAACCAAATTAAGAATAAGGTAAATTTTTCCAAGATTTCATTTTCAGAATTTCATCAACAAAAACAATCGCATTTAACTTGATTTACATGTAATTCTTTGAAAAACCTGAACGTTTTGTACTTTCATTTATAACAGTTAATTACACAAACAGACTGTGATTTAATATGTCCTTCGTTTATTATTTGGGAAACCATTTTGTCCCTTTGTTTTACTTTAGAAAAGGATTTGTGGTTAAATTCATCTGTGGACTAATTGTTTTAGAATTCAATCTTGACTACGTTTTTCAGACTTTTTGCTTCATTTTTACAGTCATTTTTATCCATAGCGCAAAGTCGACAAAATATAAATTTATTTTGTAAGGTACTTACTGGTATGTGTGCTTAGCAAAGCACTTGCAGAACATAGGATCTTCATCACTCCTATCCTTGCAGTGGATGACCCCATCGCAGAGCCTGGAAGGCATGACTCTGGCCAAGTACTTGGCGCAAGAAAGCTGTTCTGGCTCGTCAGTGCCATCTCCACAATCATCTTTGCCGTCATTGAACTGCTCTTTGGATATGCAGACACCATTATGACACCTGAACTGACCCGTGGAGCATTCTACAAGAAAAGCGAAAGACGTAAGAGAAAATCCCTTTAAAATTTTAACAACATTTTCTTTGATAAGGTGCACTTACCACAATTTTTATCATAAGGATCTTTTTCGCAAAATAGATGCTTAGTTTTACAGGATTCTTCTGACTCATCTCCTCCATCTTCGCAGTCCCTGACGCCGTTACAGACGTGAAGCAAATCTATACATTTGCCGCGCCCACACCGTATACCATGGCATTTATCGGCCAAATCTTGTTTTTTTATGATTGCACCGTTTATACCTGAAAAATAAGTATAAGTTTACAATTCTGCGCGAATCTTTTATGGAAAGAGAATGTCATTAAATTGGTCGCCTAAGTCTTTGAATGGAAAACCATACCATCGTGTGAAACTTCTTACTTACCAGCATTTTGAATTTCTATTTTCAGGTCCTCAATACCAGTTCCAATTATCCGATCTTGGAGTCCACATTCTCCACGGATATCGACAAACGTTGCAGCTGGGTACCACCCTCGTTCACTGTGGCAACTGATGATACCAGCCCATTGTTGACTGGACACCATTCCTGGCTGTAACGCAAGTTTTAAGTTTTATCTTTTTATTTACAGACCTATATTAAGATTATATGTCAGATGCAGACATGGGACTTAGTTTCATGTTAAAATATTTAAAATTATTTCTCTTACCAGGCAGAGTGATTTAGATTTTGAACGTAACTTGAAACATTTGTTGTGGTGATGACAATTTTCTCTTGTCTCCTCGACAAAGACACTAATCGTTTTATTCTTGCCATCTTGTCCCACAGCTACACAGGTACTGTTTCGATTTTCAGGCATTACTCTAAAAACAAAAGAAACATAAATTCCAAAGCAAAAATATTTGTAAAAATATTCTACCTCAAACAGCGGCAAATTAGGGTGGGTTACTTTATCACGTAAGCAACACATCACTCACGTTGATTGGACAACCATAGGTTTAACCATTGTTGAATATTGGGCAGGTTCCTTTAGATGTAACAACGCAACGTTGCTGCGATACATATCCCTCTTTCCATCTACAGGCAAGATTTGTTCGTATGGTCCATGAGTAGCATTTAGGGTTCTGTGTGAACCGAGCACTACTGTTATATGATGGCGACTCATACTGAAAAGAAGGAATTAACAGATCAGATTTTTCTCTCTATATTTGAATATCAAGAAATGTTTCTCTAAAATCTTTCAACTTACGATGAATCCCACAGGCACGAATGGCTGACCAAAACCAGTTGAAGATCTACCAGAACACCTGTGCACTTATAGTTACCCTCGACATAAACTTTGGCTACCCACGGCCACATTTCGTTAGTGGTAGTTTCTACTGCTCGGCTGTACAATAGATTTGGAGAGAAATCGAAATCAGTGAACAAGCTGTGATCACAGTATACGTATAAAGACATGCATGTTTTCTTGATATTTGGGAGGCATTTCTCTTTCAGCAGTTGTGGTTCTTTGATGACAATGTGTCTAGCGTTATCTTCAGAACTACTTGCTTCTCTGTATGTGAAATGAACTGGAGCACTAAAACTAGTGTCTCTCCTTTTTCTGAATTCGTTTGATTTCAATATACTGTCGTCGATATTTAAGTGCTTTAATAAATATCTGTTTGCAGAGCTAAAGCCTAGGTAGTGACAAATATGAGCCGCAGCTTGTTCCTGTTGCTCTGTTGACAAGTTATCTTCACAAATGATTTGCCATTTATTTTTTTGTTTTTTCGTCAAATAACCTTCCAAACGAGTTTTAGGCCTTTCGTCTATATCATATTTTAATTCTTTTCCATTTGATAAAGCAACTGAAAAAATTATACATTGGATTATTATGTTACTGTGTATTACATAATTATTGTCATAATTCATACAAATAAAAATTGTATTGTATACGTACAGCAATCTACTTCATCTTCGCCTTGAGGACACTGTGGTTTACCGTCACACACGTGTTTCATCGGTAGACAAATTTGACTCTTTCTACAAAGGAAACGATCTTCTGGACAGCTGACTAAAAGTAATAGATAATTTTATTAGCTTAGTGAGAGATTTGAAATTATGAGCTGGATATGTTAATTCTTTGGAGTTTTTGGTAAAATCTTAATAACAAGTAAGTAAAATGCATAATACCTAATAAATAATTAAGTATTTACTACCTAATAAGAGTTTAAACGGTAGTATATCGCATGCAAATCATGATCGTAATTTATACTTACAGCAGTCTGCCTCATCCTGACCGTCTGCGCAGTCAAATATTCCATCACAGAGGAGAGTGTCATCAAAAGCATGCAAGTAATCTGCACATGTGCAACTTAATTCATCAGTGCCGTCTTCGCAATCCGCTTTGTGGTCGCATCGATGACTGTATGGAATTGTTTGATATATTCTGGAAAAAGACATCATGCATATTCAAATTTATACCAAGATAAATTAATTCACTGTTCACTTTTGTTTTAAACATTCATTCATTGAATGTTGTCTCTTAAGGAACTTACCGTCTGCATTCAAATTCTTTAGGTGTTAGATGTTTTTTTCTTATCTTTGCCGGTTGGAGTTCAGATAACACTAAATCTTCTATTTTATGAATAATATCAAGTTTATCATCAAAGGTACTAATCTTTTTGCTTGAAAAATCGTCAATTATTTTGGCTGACGGTGAAATTTCTTTTTTTTCTATAACATTGCTCTCACCAGTAATCTTTTCACTCTCGTCATCTACATTTTCTGAGTGAGGTAATAGTTCTACCAATAAAGATTTAGATTCTGATTCATCATCTTCGCGATTATTGATTTTGCGCTTTGATTGCTCTGAATCAAGGATTGATGTAGTTTCTAACATAGATGAAGTGGTTGACAGTACAGGCAAAGGAGTAGTTATCGGCATCGTTGACGTAGTTTGTTCAGTAATCGGACTGTTTGTTTTGACACTCATACTTGACATTATAGTGGAAGATTCTGATGGCGGGGTGGTAGCCCAGTCTTCTTGAATATCAGATGCTCTTGATTGCATATTGACTGCTTCATCATCATTAATATTTTCCTTTTCTAGTAATGAAGATCTTGATTCTAATGGATGAGAGTTCTGAGAACTTACAGCGATAAAATCACTTTCTCTGCCAAATGACGGTGGATCAATATCTTGTTCTGAGTTATCTCGCATGTGTTCAGAGCTATTTGGTATTGATATTTCAATCGTAGAAGCGTGTAACATGTCATCATTTAGCTGTTTTTTGGCTGTTTCTTCATTTCCTAACCATTGTTCTTTATCACTTGATTCCGAAGATTGGAAGTTTTTAACCGAATCGTTATTATTTGATTCGCGAGCAGTAGAAGGATTAGCGTTAGTATTGTCTGATGAAGTTCGAGCTAAAAATATGTTGTCAAATGAACGCATAGAGTTGCAGTTCATTTCATCTTCTCCGTCCAGACAGTCTACAGTTTTGTCACACACTCTTTTGTCCGGTAGGCATTTAGATAGTCCCGAGGTACATTTAAATCCTGGGCACTTTTGCTGTGGCTGAATTGTTGGTAATATTTTTGAACCTGCAAGAATTTAAAAGTAAAGTAATTCAACCTCTTTACTGGAATCAAAATTAATTATGGCTTAAAGTCCGTACCGATGTGATATCTGATCCATTTTACAAAGAGACTAACTCTCGTGTAAACTCCGGGTTCACCTTTGCGGGCGCACCCGTCTCCGTGACTTACGATACCAGCCACATACCATTGTTGAGAATTCAAAGGGCTTCTGCAGACAAGTGGGCCCCCGCTGTCACCCTGTGAACATTAACATATCTCAGAATTAAATAATGGACTGCTCTAGGTATTTAATCCATTGAATAAGATATTAAGAGAGTATAATTTATAGATTTACGAGTCATTGAACATATTTTGTTTATGAACAATAACAGAACAATAATAGTTTATTATTCAAGCATAAATCATAGAAATGTACAAGAAGGAATGTTTTACCTGGCAAGCATCTTTTCCACCTTCAACGGGGCCAGCACATATTTCTTTACCATCTCGATCTTCTGAATGTTTGCATTTTGCCCAAATAGGCAGCTCAACTTCTCGCATATGATCCGCTGTCGAAAAGAAAATACAACATCAATACCTAAGTACTAATTATTTCTCAATATTAACATATAGGTAGTTTACAATATTGACGTTAACTGTAATAAGCGATGATTTTAGATGGTAGCAGACAAAAATCTAACTTACGATCTGGACCATGCTCTACAGTGGCTCCCCATCCAACAGCTGTGCAGACAGTACCAGGGGCGGGACCCCATCGCCACTCAGGTCCAGCAGTGTTGGGGCCAGGCAAACAAATTGGCCGGACCCATCTGCTAAACTGAATTGACGACTTCACTCTTAGAAGAGATAGATCATTCTTCATGTCCGCTTGATCATAATTCTGGTTCACTATAACATGAGTAATGCGGTGATTCTGCTCTTGTGGTGAGAATGAGAATCGACGCAGCATGCCAACTTGCACTTCATAATAATGACTCCAAAACCTAAAAATAATCAAATTTTTATCATATTATTATCATACGTTAGAAGAAACCAGAAATATTCAAGTGAATCATACTTAGCATTTTAAAAACAAACACGGGGCCTCACATGCCTGAAGAATCTGACCTTTCTCAACTTTGCAGCGGTTTTATTAAAATGTATATAGGTAGAATGTGTGCATTTTTGCATACATGAATAAAATGAGCTGAATTCTATTATATTAAAACCAAGCTGATCTGAGCAAAAGTGAGGGCTTACACGGTTTATTGTCTTATTCGTTACTTACTCGTGTACGCAATGAGCAGCTGACAGTACCCAATGCTGAGTAACGATGACCCCACCACAATGGAACATGCCATTTCTATACAGCGCTGCCATCCAGGGCCAAGCAGCTGGCTTACTAGGTCTTCCACCCACAACCCTAGCCTGTGCCCTTTTCGTTTTACTCGTCACTTTCTTGCTTTCTTTTTGTTCGGTAATTAATGCATTATTTCTAATATTCCTCTTTAGTGGATCATAAAAAGACATCGGGTATGGACGGCCATTCAAAAGAAAGCGCTTGTTTCTTCCGAAAAGATGGTTCTCGATCGCAGAATTCTGTAAGAGGATTAAATAAAATTGTAAAGTTACTTTGTCAAAGACCCGAAGTCTTATATTGGCTTGAGAGCGTCATCTAATAAAATAGCCAAAGTACCTCTTTCATTAATTGCGAAGTCGATGAAATTCTTGTACCACAAAGTAATTCAGGACACGTGACGTATATTGCTGAAGAGTTAAAGCAGGTGTTACTAGTGTGGATCATTCCTTCTGGCCCCGTGTTCAAGTACCCGAGCCTCAATAATGGATCGACTGGCAGCACTTGAATGTATGGCGGCCTAATAAAAAAAAATAGAATATTAAATATAAATAAATCATCAAAATATTCAGCACTTATTTACATACTGCTTATTTATTATTCAACTGTAAACCACATCTGGGTTTGTGTTGATTTAGAAATTTAAATAAGTTTGCTTAATTATTTAGTATAGCGAAGTTCAAAAATTACGCAGCTCCTATTTTAAATTTCCGTTTTATTCATCGACGAAAAACTTAAGCGGAAATTTTTAGTCAGGCAAACCTTATTATGAGTCCGGTTTCTCTTCGGCAGGCGTCGTGCGCCCACATGTAAGGATTTTTACACACAGCATACCACTCCCCTTTGAAGTTCCGTTGCAAAAATCCTTCAGTGTTTGAAGTGGCGAACAACTGAAAAATATAAGTATTACACTGAAAATTACGGTCTTTATAAGTTTAAAGGCCAGATTTTAAACAATAGGTTACAAAATATTATCAAAAATTGAGATTAGTGACTAAAACTGTTAAAAAAATATGCGCATTTATCACTAGACTACTATCGAATCGACACTTGAATTAACTTTCTTTTTGCATCTCAAATAGTATCTTTATTTTGGGAGTCCAAAACGATTTCTATTTGTATCAATAACATAAACGAATATTGCTTACTACAAATATATTTTGCAAACCATTTTTATTTTATGACGATAAAACTTCGTGCATTCAACGATGAGTAAGAAAGCGAAAAAGTTTTTATTCGCCAAACTCTCGACATGAATTGGCTTTTAAACGATCGTCAACGAAGATTTTACTTAATTTTTTTCCCCAATGAAGGTGACCAATGATGTACATACTTATAGATACCTTTTCTTCTAATTAAAAGCTTAGAATGTACTTAATGAAACACTTTGTGACGTGAAAACGAATTATGGAAATGTGAAAATCTATGCCACTTTTTCTTGACGTGTTTCGTATTCTGCCCTTTTGATATTCTCACGCCATTCCAAGCGATCAAGAGTAATTCGCTATGTTATTTTACATAAGTTCCTATGGGAAATAATGTTTACTTACATCATATATGCCCGTTAAAATTTCTTCTGAGATTTTATTTTGGTGTGTAAAATGAAATATTATATTACGTTACCTATGGGTATGTGTTACCTCAGCATGTTAGGGTAGCGTTGTACAAACAGAATATTTGGTAACACTTACGGGATTATTGTGAAGGCTCGGCGAAAGCATGTTACAATCGATCTCGTCTCTATTGTTCGGACAGTCCATTATGTTATTACACCTTTGTTCTTTTGAGAAACAGCTGCTCTTCGAGTTGATATCCAAGTCCTCACAGCTGAATGCGTTTTCACTACAACCTGTGGAAATCAATAGTATTACTTGACAATAATACTTTGAAGCTTTTATCGTAGCTTTCTAATTAAGGGATGAAGTTGACCGTTTTCCACCCACGCGAAATTAATTTACTTATTGGAATGTACAGACTAGAGACTAGACTGGAGGCTCGTGAAGCTAAATAGTGTTTTTCTTATCTCGTTGTATTACCTACAGACATTTTTGCTACAAATATGTATAGTGTGATGCATGTAGTGTCATGTAGATGGTATAATATGAGTTTAAACGGTGAATTTTTGTCGTAAGATTCAGTTTTTTTTACTGATACATTTTTTAATTTGTTATCTAAATATTTTTTTTAAATTCCTTCACAAAATGTCAAACAACAGAACTGAAGGAAAAATACGAACCGTAGCATCCCATCTCATCTTCACCAAAAGGGCAATCGAAGTATCCATCGCACAGTCTAGATTTGTCCACCCTGGACTTGCAGCTGCACTTAGCTTCGTCACTGACGTCAGAGCAGTCTACATGACCATTGCACCACTGACTTTCAGGAATGCAACCTTCTCCGTTGAAGCAGGATATTGTTCCTTCAGGACATTGAGCCTCACGAGGTGCAGTAGAATTTTTCTCTTGCAATCTCTTTTGTTCATCAAGGCTAAAAAAAGTAAAATTTGGATTTATTGATTTAGACTACTGTATACCTTACTTCCTTACTATTATGTTCAATAAAAGTCATTTTAATTACTAGCATTCTGCTCATATCACTTTCCAGAGTAAAAATCTCTTCTTTTACTCGTGCAAGAGGAACGTTTTAATCCCTAAAATTAAGCATTGAAAAATAAATGTTAAATGAAACAATTTGTCAGTTTATCGGTGGTATAAAAATAATATTATTTGGAAATCGAAGACTAGTTAATTATAAAATATCCACTCACTATGCATATTGCTTCAAAAATTCTGCAAATATTGCTTCATCTTGTGGATGTATTTGTCGAATTGGCTGATCTTCGTGGTCTTCACTTTCTCGATACCTGTAAATAGTTTAAAGTTGAATAAATCTTGTACGAAATAAATATGTTTAGTTTCTAAAAACTGTTACATATTTTTGTGAACCAAACTTAATGACAATTGATTTTAATGAATACGCACTGATTGGATATTCCATGATATGTTGGATATTGAGTATATCCTGTGTTTGGAGCATATTCTGGTACGTGACTTTCATATCCACCTGAAAAGATTTCCGAGTTAAAATTTATTCTCATTTACTTCCTTTAAAAAGTTATTTTCAAAACTATTACCTAATGGATGTCCTTTCTTCAAAAGGCGAGCCAATAAGCATGACGGGTCAAGCAATTGTGGCTGATGGGAGTAGGGCAAGGAGTAAGAAGGAACATGTTGATATGGTTCCGCACCGTATCCAATTGCATCCCGATTTGAAAGTCCGGTCAATTCATCAGTGAGCGGCAGGGGAAACACTTCGCGCTTTGTCATATCTATTGGAATGTTGTTTGCTCTAAAACTTTGCTTGGCTTGTCCTTTATTTTCAGGTACCACTACAGGATGCATTTTTGATCCTTGTTCTGCTCTGTCTGAAGCTTTATTACCCTCAGTAATGGCCTTTAATTTTCCAACAAGATCTTTACAGATTTCATTTTTGTTTTCTGTATTACAGAGTGTCTTGTGGTTCATAATGATATCTCTAGCTTTTTTATATTCTTCATCACTTAATTTATCCAAAAGTCTATCAGTGTCATCGATATCTTCAACATTTCTCTTCTTTCTTTTCATTACAAAGCCAGTGTCATTTTTTAGGCGGAAAGATATTTCTAGATTATTCTTTTGTAATGTTAGATTGGAATTTTTAGAGACGCTTGTGACGAAAAATATTTCAGTTGTGCGAAATCCTTCTGAAAACAATATTTTTATGCATTATGATACATATGTCGCAGGCAAATTGTATGATTCCGCATTTTACAAACGGCGTCGTCAGTTTACAAACGCTCGCTGTTCTATGAAATGCCGAAGGCAAATTGGCGACTCGTTCAATTGATAAAATTTCGACTATGATTGTTGCAATAGGGTGACCATCATAAAACACATGTTGGACAAATCAGACTTAATTTCAGAAATCAGGTAGGTATCTATTCAGGTAAGACAAACCTAAAATACTAGCTACTCCTAAAGTAAGTAAAATATTTTCTTAATAAAAACAACACTAAACTAATTTAAACTACTGACGTACGTACCTACCTATAGGTAGGTACATAAAACTATGACATAAAATAAGTTTCGATAGTCAGTCCTTTAATTCTTACATTTTAGTTATACCTAGAAGAAGTCTAGAAGACAACACAATATTTTTTTAAACCAATAATATTCCGCAGCAGTCCACCACCAGTCCGAGCACCAGATTCCATTGTCACCTTAGCGTTTTTTACGTGCCGGATAACCTCAAAATCTATTTCATTTTTCCATAGCTATTTCACTGCTCCTATTTATGAATCGTAAAATATTTTTAATTCACTAAGTATAATCAATGTCTTTTTATGTGAAAAGTTCTTTGAATACGTAGAATTTTCACTGTTTTCTGTATCAGAACACCACGACTCGACGCCATTTTTCTTGTTTTGATTAGCAGCGCCTCGCGTGGTAAGAAAAAGAACTAAATACTTCAATTTGCCGCGGCATTTTATAAACAGCAATTGAATTGGCTATCAAATGTTTTGGCATATTATAAAGTGCCCAGGCAATTTACATTTTGCCTTCGGCATTTCATAGAGCAGCGAGCGTTTGTGAACTGACGACGCCGTTTGTAAAATGCGGAATCATACAATTTGCCTGCGACACATACATTAGTTACACAATACAACAGAAAACCTATATTTTATTGACTAGTTTGTTTAATAAAAACGGCAACAAAATATGAACTTAGGTATAATAAGTATACAATAACTTACCTATATTCTCTAGAAGTCTTGCTAAAACGATAAAAGCTCCGGCAAATATAACGAAAAGCAAAATGAAAATACATGTTTTCCTTACTACGTTGTAGATAAATATGTCTTTCCTTCTTCTGTTGCTATCTAAAAGCAAAAAAGACAAAGTATGTACAAATTTATTTATTTATTCCGATTTCCATCAAGAACATTAGATTTGCCTAGATTCAGAAACACGTAGAAATGGTTAAATAAATAGCCCACGTCTATTTTAATTTTTCCCGGTGACAATTTTTTCAAATTAACGGTATCAGGCACTTGAGATGTAATAAAATATCGTTCGAGAGCTATAAATCTGATCTCAGATCCCTTTGCATAAATATCCAAGATGATGAATATTCGTCTCTGAATTCAAAAGGTATTTCAGGTGTGTCTTACGTACTCTACACACCAAGCTTGGCTTGGTGTAGACGGCTTTATTTCAAAACATTAATGTCGACGACTTATACTTTCTATGATTTCTGACAACATGTCAAAATGTAAGTCTAGAAATTAGCACGTCACTACCTTGTTTAATATACCACGCAATCTTGTATACCCATTCTTATAAGATACACCATACAAGAATGCATGGTAAATTCAGTGAACTGCTCCTGAATCGAATGTACCTACTACTACTATTTCTATTTATTTATATTAACCGGCAGACAGTGGTGACTGAGTTTGTTGCGGCGCTTCTTCTCAGCACTTGCCAAATGTTGGTCTCGAAGCGCTGGTAGGGTAAAAAGATTATGAGACATGTAGAGGCTCCTTAAGAGCAAAATGACGATTTGTAAGAACTATTTATTAGTCCAAACAAATAAAGAAATTTGACTTGACTTGACTTGACTTGTCGACGACTCATGTCGGCGGGTTTCGGCGGGTTTCGTGCGTAGACTGCATTAGTGTATTCAATTTTACCTCTACATTCAGCCAGTGCCATTGGCGGGAGCCCCAGTTGATTCAATTCCTTATCCATTTTTGTATCGCCGTTCATTTTCTGTGAAAAATGTGATATTTTTAATTCGTTTCTACATTTTTCTGACTATAATCTATTCACAAACTAAACAGAAACCGTAATACCTACTCTTGAAAAGTGACCTAAGTATTGTAATAAAATGACCACACCCTATGGCAAGCGGGATTTAAACCAGTGGCGTTGTAGTCCATACGTAGTTCATATCAAATCAAATCAAGCCAAATCTCGTTATATTCAAAATATAGGCATTGCAGTACAATAAAAAATAATGATTCAACTCTGTTGTTTCAAAAATAAAATATTCCGCTGGACAAAGTTTTCTGATGTTAATATCGGTCTCAGCTCGTGCGGAAAACTCAAGAAAACATCTTGGAAAAGAAATGGCTAAATGATATTTTTATATTAACGTCACAGCGTCTTCATAATTTCACTGCCATTTGCTAGACAGGTCGGAATGATCATATGGACAAATGGGCTCGGCCCAATAAAAGGGATGGACACTTAAGTTATTATAAGCATTCGTTATATTATTGGTATACTCTATTTTATCTCTGTCATGTTTATTTGACGTGAAGCATGAAGTAAAATTAGCAAATACTTTGTTCTTGACAGCATGATTAAATCCGAATTGGTTTGAAATTTAACACTTATTAAAATGCTCAACTCTGGAAGTCAAATTGTTACCTATATTTCTGAATGTTTATATATTAAATTTCTAATACTTACATTAATTTAATGATATCGACGAAATGCACTTAGATATTCCGAACTCTACATAGCGTTAAAACTGTAATGTATAAGAATCCACTGACACCGAGGCACTGAGCAGCTTGATCCAGATTTGCTGAACACTCGAGTGTCGGGTGTCGGTGCTAAGTCAGTACTTTTCATATTAGGGGAAGTTTATAATATTATACAAGTAACTGTGAAAGTTTGTGAAGATTTATGAATAAGTTTGTCACTCTTTCACGCAAAAACTACTGAACGGATTTTGATGAAACTTTACAGTATTATTGTTTTTTTTATGTGATAGGAGGCAAACGAGTTTAGACATTAAAATAACACACAGACTGTAGTTTATAACGACTTCTGACACACTTGTAAGATATTGAATAGGTTTAATAATTAAAATTTTTCTATATTGCACACCTGTTAAAACATTTTACTATAAGGAATATGGAATTCACAAACTTTTCCACGCGAATCACAGCTCCACCTCAACAATATTGTATAAATACTTATATCTTCCCTTGTTTAAGTAGGAACCTACCTGTCTTAAGCTCATGCTATCGAATATCGGATATCAGATTTAAATATACATGTCCTATTTCCACTCTAGTCAGTTCCTATATTTGTCAGGGAAATCAGGAACAAGTTGATGTGGATAATCAACCTGAAAACATTTAGTAATCATCGATCTGAAAATAATAGGTACTCGTTTAATACAATAAAGATAAATGTAGGTAGTACCTACCATAGAATAATTAATAGTGTAGTACGCGCGATAAATTCCCAGTCGCAATTTTTTCCTAATCTAGAAAAAACACGTAAAACGCTTATACATGTATTTCAACCAGAAATAGAAGCTGGATTCCCAATGATTAAACTGCGGAGGCGAATTATATTCAAGCGGTATCACATAAATACACATTAAATTCAAACTAATGTAGTAAAATATTTGTTGATGTCTTATTAGAATAATTTTATCATCTTTGTAAACTGACCTTTAGCTTAATCATCGAAAATGTTCAGTACGTCGATGACCTGATATTTGTGTCGAAATGTCGATGCATTGTTTCGACTGGCGAATTTCTATTGTACCTAAAACGTTGCGTAATCGGTTAAAAACCGAATAGCTTTGCCCGCGACTTCGTACGCGTGAATATCGTTTTAATATTTTTTTCCCGTTTTCTCAAATTTTTCTTTGATGCTTTGCTGGTATTGCTTGTAGCTTGATGGGTCTACACAAAAATGTTTTTTCTAATCGGATCAGTAGTTCCCGAGATTAGCGCGTTTAACTAAACAAAAAAACAAACTCTTCAGCTTTATAATATTAGTAGTGAGACCCGATCATTGATTCGATTTTTTTTATTAGTTTAGAAAGAAGAGATTATTGGTAATACAAAGCCTTTAACAACTTCAAAATGTACTGGATTATCATCATAATGTTATTGGATTACTATAGAGTCGTGGGCGTTATTTGGGTAAATGACGTTATCCATTGTTTATTATAGTCATACGAGTAATACCTAAACCCGGATTAAATACCGAACCATCAGCCACTTTCAATGGTTAGTGCTGTCGTGACATATTAACAATACAAGTAATAAAACAGCAATTTTAGTATCAGTTAGATAGAGGTCTGAAAAACATTTGAAAGTAAAATTCAGAATAGAGTACCTACCTAGAGATTTCTCACATTTCAATAAATAAATCAATGGTTTACCGTATGAAATTTCTTTGGCAATAAACACAATTTCTTTGGCAATCGATTGAATGCCATCACCTCCTTAGTACCTAGCTTTCTCTTTTTCTTCTGCTATAGATAGGTACTTCATAAAAATTTACATAATCTACGTCACGTAGGTTACGCGTCCCTTACTGCTACCTAATCGGATTCTATGACAGTGTGATACATGAAATAAATCTAAAGCACACTATTTCATACATGAAAATAACATAAGAAAAACGTATTCCATTAGTATGTACATTTATTTATAAATGTTAGCTCTGAATTAACTATAAAAGTTTGTTGTAAACCACTAGCAAATTACACGGTGAGTCCAGCGCGTGACGTAATAACAGGCACACATTGAAGGTGCGGTTGCATAGAACAAATCAATTAGCGCTCCAAGGAGCTCGTATTCCATTAGTTAATTGCTTTTGATCCTGGCCATCTCGTTGTTTGCGATGCGGTGAGACGCTGCTTTGGACCGGCGCTTGTCTATTATTAATATTCTAAATTCAAATAATAATGCTGCCTTTTCTTTCAAAAGCATCCAGTGATTTTGTTCTCTATTCAAATAGTTTGGTCGCGTTCCATTAAATCGCTAAATTAGGTTCATACACAATAATTTGTGCATTTTCAAAACTATGTAGGTGGGAGGTGGGTGTGTTGCGCTAATTTTGGAATTAGCTTACGCTTTGATGTCAAAGGGATTTGAAACTTTCGGAACTCCTCATTAATACCTGACTGATCCGAAGAGGTACATACGTTAAATCTTGACATTAACATCATTAACATTATCCATGCGCGCAAAGTTTAGATTCAAATGTTGTTAAGTTTCCCATTAATATCAATGATAAACATTGCAATTCTAGCTATAGTAGGTAATTTATTTACACCCATTTTCCATTATTCCTTTAATCTATATTCTATATACTTATAATAAATCTGTAGAGAGGTCAATTCTGTACATGAAATATATTTGCAAAATAACTATCAGGGGGTGATTAGTGATCGATACTGATGCCAAAAATGCAATCAGTAAAATTTTTGTCTGTCTGTCTGTCTGTCTGTCTGTCTGTCTGTCTGTCTGTCTGTATGTTCCTTATAGAAACAAAAACTACTCGACGGATTTTAACGAAACTTGGTACAATTATTCTTCATACTCCTGGGCAGGTTATAGGATACTTAGGAATTCTCACGGGACCGGGAATTAGCGGGAAAATATGTTTGTATGAAAAATCTAAACTGCTTAAGTTAGACGCTTGAAATTTGGCATGCAGGTACCTTAGTAAACTTAAAGCTTAGTTACAACAGGATATTGCAAAATTCCCACGGGAACGGGAGTTAGCGGGAAAAAACATTTGTATGAAAAAATCTAAACCGCGTAAGATAGACGCTTGAAATTTGGTATGCAGGTACCTTAGTAAACTTGAAGCTTAGTTACAACAGGATATTGCAAAATTCCCACGGGAACGGGAGTTAGCGGGAAAAAACATTTGTATGAAAAAATCTTAACCGTGTAAGATAGATGAAGGGGGTAAAACGGGATCCACGCGTACGAAGTCGCGGGCGGCCGCTAGTAATAAATAGTTTTCTCGAACACACTTAACACTAATGCCACTGTTATTTCTAAGTAAGTTCTCAAAAATAAACCGGTTAAATGGAAGTTATTCAGACTCGAAAAATGAAGATCAAAGGATTTTCTATCAAAGGGTCTAATTCTAGATCTAAAATCATTACGAGGGACGTGTGAAGATAATTTGCATCACAAAGGGCTCGTATTAGCCAGTCAGTTTGAACTGACCAGGCTGTAAAACCTTTCCTAGCGATGAATGGTACAATTTTGTTTGGATTTAAGCAAAAGGGTCCGCACCCTCACTGTATTTGTTAATAGTTGTTATTTGAGAATATGATAATACAGATTTTCATTTCAAATGTTAACACTGCATCTAAAATTAGTTAACGAGTTCGATGAAGATTTTGAAACAGGAAGAGATAGGTATTAGGTTTTCAGTTAGTGGAGTACCATTTTAAAAAAGATGCCTTGAAATTTGTAGTTAGTGGTGTCAGCTACCTAATAAACACAACTTTAATATCTCGGTTAGGTAGCTGACAGATGAAACTTTTTTCAGGACAAGAAAGTTATAAATCAACAAAATCATACCTTAACAGTTTCATTCTTAACAGGTGGGTAGCATGATGGACAGTCAGAGTAACTATATTTTATTATGAAAATTATCGTTTATACTGTATGAATGAACAACTAGATGTCGCCGTCACGGGCTGCGCAAACAGTAAGCAATGCGTGGTTATTCATTAACATGATTTGGTCGGTGGTCGCATGGAAATCATTCGCTTTCCACCATGCATATAATGGAAAGGGGTCACATAGAGTTTTCCATTCGTGGTACGACCTTGACCGTATACGGATTGCTGTGTGGTGTTCTTTTATAAGTACAACCTGGTTGCATACTCAATTTTGTACATCTGCATTGTTCCCAAATAAAGGTAAGTCCTTTTACGATTTTACTTTTTCAGTTATATTTTAAGTACTTAAATATCTCGTTCTTTTAGAGGAACAATAATCATGTTAGGTCCTGGTAGGAATTATTGAGAAATTTACTCAGCTTATTCCGTGTGTAAAGTCCTATTCAAACTTGGATTATTGATATAAATTATCACTTTCCACTTGTGTGTCTCATCTGGGATCGAAACTAAGGTTTCTTAGAGTTTCAAAATTGGCAAAATGGCTTCAGACCAGTGTCATTAATAACATGGTTATTTACACCACAGACTTATAAGTTACGTTTGTACCTAAACGTGCTAAAAGTGTTGTAAATGAGATTAGGAGCCCTAAGCGCCGAGCAAAAAACTCATAAAAATGTCTTCCACGCCAAAATATTTCACTTTGCCGTTTATTATTTCGGTTTATTGGTTTTACTCGTACAGATAATGTAGGTTTCATAGGCAAAAAATACGCCCCGAATAAGTTATAAAGGAAAAATGGAATAACATTTCCGATACTCTTGCGATCTTACTTTCGCAGTAAAGAATTTACACATTCCATCATCGAATGACATGTTGGCTTCCACGTTCGTTTTTGGCTAATAAGAAAATTATCGATCTTTATTGTGTAACGTTTAATAATAGCAAAATCGTACCTGTACGTTTGTGTACTTAAGATAAGACAAAATCTGATACTATGGAAACTAAACTCGTTTTTTCCATAAGGTGTTGATTTTCCCCACAATTCAAAATTGAAATGGAACGCGAAAGTTTATAATCTTATTAATATGTTTTATAAGTTTGACGCTCCCTTTGATTTTATTAATCAGTGATCTCGATACTAACTCCCTTAGAACTAGCTAGAATAGAACTTAGCTATTAGCAATGGCTATTGTTGCTCACATCAAACGAAAATTATTTTCAGAAAATGTTTCGCTATAGTATCGATATTCCCTTGGATGTCAGCAATCTCGTTACTTTTATTGGCATTAACTGTAATAAAGTGTCTCTCTATTAATAGAAACTAATGAAAAATTCCTCCGTTCCCCTAACAATGAATAGCTATAAAGCCTTCTTCTGTTCCAGCTCACGTAACCAACACTTACAAGAAATGGAACTTATAAAGATATGAATCGTATAATGCGCTCTCAAGTCGACATGAGACTAGTGGTGGTGTATTTTTTCGCTACGACCTTAATCTCCGGTTGCCATGGAGACCAGAAGGATGAAGCTGATGCGTATATGAGCCGGTTTGTCGCTGATCTGTGGCTGGAGGGAGCAGACGTGGTTAAGATCATTTGGCGGGACTGTTCTAAGAAAGTTTGTATTTTGTTTGTTCTAGCATACGAATATTATACAAAGATTCTTCTGTGCCTGCTTTTTCAGAAAAGTCTGTCCGAGTACCTACTCGGACCTAAAGGGATGTTCACAAGTTAATAAGCTGGCGTATAAGTTTTTAAAATAATAAAGAGATAAAGTTCAGTAAATTTTAACGAAAAGTTTTAGTTTTTCACAGTTCAACCACAATATTAAGTTCGAAGTTCCAACATCAGCTAGAAAAATTTAATTTAACTGAAATATTGGCGAAATTCAAAAATAAATTACATACAAATAAGTAGGTATTATGTGTAGTTTTAGCTTAGCTCATACGTGTGCTGAATTACAATTTGTACTATTTCTCATTCAAAAATTCCATAACGAACGTTCATAGTTTAAAATTCAGTCCTAGCTCGGTCTGCTATTTCCAAACTTTCTCGTTTGTGTTTGGCGTTTCAAAATTGTATTGGAAACGAGAGGTTAAAATAATATTGATCTTTTGTTTGTTAAAATTGGTTTAGGAATAATTATTCCAGGTGTGTACAATCGTCAGAATTAGACTCTACATTTTGTTAGAAAATCGTACCTATTTCAACTTGATAAGAGTTCAATGTGTGGCTTAATTGTTACAGTTTCCCAGAAGGGTCTTGGTAGTACTTACCGATTTTTTGCACATTGTAACTGTAGTTATATCGTAAAATGAAGACTTTCTTTGAAAAAGATGTTCATTATACACCACTAAATTTTTATCACCGAAAAAATTTTAACAGGTTATGTAGAAACGTGTGAAAAATTTAAAGCAAAAGAAAAATAAATGTTTTTCATAAAGTTAATTTTTTTATTAAATTTTCTTTAGTCCGTATTTTACGCGTCACAGCTGGGTCACTCCGCTGCTCGCTATAGTAGTCGTACGCGCTCGCACGTTGCATCGATCTGTCTGTCTCGCTCACGCCTCGACCACACTTTTAGTGTTATTATTAAATACTTAGCTAACTTAGACCATTTTGAATTCTAATAAGTGTCACATTATCGTACTTAAATAGTGCTAGCGACGCGTGTGTCAATAAATTACCAATTTTAGGAGGATATTTTGAGTCACTTTATTTTACTCTTTTTTTTGCACAAATGGGATCAGTATCAATAACTCATTACCCAGAATTTTTTTTTTCGGTGATTAAAATTTAGTGGTGTATTCTACAGAACGTACATACCTTCTATGTGAGATAGTTAGCAAACATACTAAGGCCATTGTTTAAAAATTCTTTGTTAGCGACTCAAGGTAAAGGGAAATAGTTTTACTTACGGGCCCATTTGTACATACGCGAGCAATCCTCAGTGGATCAACGCTAAGACATGCGACTAGATCAAAAAGAATACGTTGTAGGGACAATGATTGTCATATCTCAAGGGATTTCACTTAGGATGAAAGCTAGGAACGTTTTATGCCCATTTTTCATTAGATAGAACTGACAAGAAGTCGTTTCTTGAAATGAATAGTTTTTTGTTTTATTTGAGACTAGCCTCTGCCTGGGTTTGCCCGCGTGGATTTTGATAAAATTGTTGTACTCAATAGTTATTCTCATGTATCCTCTCAGGTACGCTAAAACACTATTAAGTTACTTTAAAATCCTTTGAGTAGTGTTAACGTGAAGTCGAAACAAACATCCATCACATCCACACAAATATACACGCGTATTGACCCTAAAACTGTTCCTGCTTCTTATTTATTTTTGGCTTACTTATTATTTCATTACCATTTCCCTAATGAACGTTTATCCATCAAATACATTTCAGCTGGTCGACGTGAAGGATGTTATCGACCACAAGGAGTACTTCCCGAAGTTCCTCCGGTGCATGAAGCGGAAAACTCTGAGGGCCCTCGACCGCTCGCTCAGCCCAGACGTTGTGCCCATCGCTGACGGAGTCAATCTGGTCCGGTTCGAACTAGTCGACCGGTCCGGGAATATTGTTCCGGAAAATGAGACAAGGTTTGTAAAAAGTATTTTAGTTACATAATGGAGTTCTGGAAACCGGTCTGGAAATACATATTGTGTCGGAAAATGAGACCAGCGATAAGTTTTAGTTTTTTCTGATGGATTCAACTTGGTACGGTTAAAAGTGTTTGAACTAGTAGAAACTCAGACAATGAAATAAGATAAATTACTAATACAAAACTTGAGTTACTTGTGACTCAATAACGAGACCTGATTTTCTCACTACTTATCTCCTGTCTGCTAAAGTGGCTTCTTCAGGTGGAGTCAAGTGGTCGACAAGTTCAATCGGCACGTATCAAACTAGTTGACCCCTCTTAAGTACTAAAGAACAAGATAACTTTTCCTTTGAGTCCGAATAACGATCATGATCATAGTCTTTAATAAAAAGTTTGTCCATAGTTTTGAAGGTGTTGAAAAGTAATTGAGTACACGTTTTATTTCAATTTGGGCATCATGCATTGTTGAACTTAGCCCTGTAATTTTGCAAATTGAATTCTGTAATTAGATGGGCAAACAAGTTGGGACAAAAGGTTCACTGTGCATAAAACTTAAAATTGAAGTCTCTCGAGCTCGACCGTCCAATTTGCTCGAATATTACATCCATTGACGTCGACAAAGACAGTTTGTTTGGCACTTTTAACTAACTAGTTAGTCCTTAATAACAATTAGGACTATGAAGTTCGATTGCTTAAATCAAATTAAGTATTAAATTGACAACTTTGCGAACTTCAAACTTTAAAAAACTTCTTTCCAAAATATGGTTTTAAAATGTAAAGTTGAGGTGAGTTAAGGTTGTGCGGGCTTCTAAATGGAAACTCCATCCATCGCTTGAAATTGTTAGTAAACTAACAGTGGGTTAGTTTAGATTGTAATTTAACTACGTCAAATTATAATCTGACGGAATTCACAAAATTACCTAGGTTTAGATAATTTACTACCCATATCAAAATAATTTTAATATGCTAAGAGTTTCCGGAGGCTTAATGACTAAAACCACAAATGGATTATTAGCGCCGATGGTAAAAGCTTTAAATTTCCTGTGTACCGTATTTTAATTAAATGTTCATATTTGAAATGGGTTAACCATTTCAAATATGAACATAAAATAATAATGAAACATCATTATTATTTTATGAAACTAAAGCTAAAGAACACTTTAGCCAAATTACATTCCATTAGGAAAAGTCAATTGTCAGCGTGATATTGCTTTTCACACAGAAGGTAACCCCTTCCAACCTTGTTATTATTGAAAATGAATGTAATCACAAGATCAGAATAAAGAAAAATAGAGACCACACACCTACGTATATTTTGGTTTCATGGTTCAGCCGCCAAAATAACATAATTAATTCCATTTTTTCGTAGTGTTTTTTGTATAACTATCAGACATACCTACATTTAGGAATTTTATATTTGATGCTGAATTTTTGTTGGAATGTGTTTAAAAACAGCTTTTTCGTCACTGGTATTTAAAAATACAGCCCTGGTTGCCCAGCCTGCCAATTGTTCTGAAAATAGTCTGAAAAACTACCGTATAACATCGTTGGGTACATTTTTATGTAATAAAAGTCTATTACAAACAAATCCAATTTGTTAAAAAGTGATATGTACTCGTCATCTGACCCAGATTCTAGTTCGCAATCAAACTAGTGTAAATTACCTTTTCCAATTAATTTGAACTGGCTTTTCACATCCCAATATTTTAAATTTCATAGAATTTTTGGATTTGGGATTGAACCATGTAGCCCTGTTTTTTAGATTAGTTAATATATTTCATGTTTTATGCCTAATATAATTTATTATATAAATACCTACAGTAAAACTTTATCAGTCAAAAATAAATTCCACAGAAGTGCGGGAAAAACATTAAAAAGTGGTATTAAAATTAATAATTACATACGTAAGTAATCAGTAAATAAAAGGTTAGCAAAATGTAATGTAGTAGGTAGCAACCTTTAAGAGACAGAAGTAGGCCTTAGAGGAATTTGCTGTATTGCTACTTTGTTACGAAACATACAAGTACAAATGTGTTAAGCATACGTGTGCATACGCGTAAAAGAAAATTAGTAGTAACTTCGTATCTTTACAACGAACACACAATATTGACAAAAAGGCAACTTTGTCTCCAAGGCGGTATATTGTTTGTTATATCATGCTATGATATTTGAAACACTCACAAATAGCTGGCGAGAAAATACACTGAACGACAATTTTCTGTCTGAAAGAAAACTAATTTTATTTTTAATATTGCTTAATTTTAGGTGCTATTATTAGCGTCTTTGTCCAATTCAGAGGCTATTAATGTAAATTAAATACTTATTGTTTTACAAAGAGTAAAAATACTTGTAGGTAGTTATATTTGAAAACAAAATAATTCATTCATAATAATTTACTATAATAACTTTTTCTCCACTTGGACCTACTCTACCTAATTATTATTTCACAGAACTTCAATTGGTTTTAATTCAATCAATTTTATTTATCGGTTTTTATAATGTCAAATAGGTTTAGTTACAGAGACGTTAATATGTAAGTATTGTAAATGAATGGAATTCAGTCAACGAAACATTACAGTCGAGAAATAAATTAATATCAACGTCTGATATAAATAGACTCTGATCCAGTGAACCGAGAGCTCTTTTTAATGTAAATCAGCTGAATTTTAATTTGAATGTTTCTACTGTTCGCTTTTAGAAGTCAAGTTACTTTGACAAAATGACGAAGGTTTTGTCCAAAATCTAAGACTGATATTATTTCAGGCAGGACCTCGTCATATAGTTTTAACTACACTAAATACTGCATGGAAATCTTTTACTCTTGGTAATAAAATCCAGCTTAAGTTTACGAAGCACTTAAGATTTATATGCAAGACGTGGTTTTGTACCCAAAATAGAACCCTTGCGTGGGTTTAAAAGACTTATTAAACGTCGCATGGGGCTATTTTTGGAATAACACTTAATCAGTAAAGAAAGGGGACAGCAATATCCTTCTGCTGTCCTTTACATCCAGCTTCGGGCTTTTCAGTTCATTGTCATAACCAAAAAGTACCCTTATCAACCCTTACTGGGAGCAATTTTTAATCTACAATAGATTTTTGCGTTCCTAACTACGAATATTATCAAGGTCACTTTCAAAAAAGTTCACACACTCACTGCTATAACCAATTAATTGACTAAATTTTTATATGAAAATGAAATTAATATTCTCTACATTTTTATTTTGTAAGCAACATCTATTTGTGGTATCCATCGGTAACCTAAACAAATATTATCATCGAATGTGTGTTTCATTTAATTCAGCCTTTTGGTTATACAGACCTCGAAAATTATACCCCTAGTCAAAGAATTATGTCAAAGCCCACCATGTTATAATTAATTTTGAAAAACGCATTAACTTAAAAAAGAGAGGATAAAAATTATATGTTTGTAAATTTATATCCAAGCTCACTTAGCATAATTGTATGTGTAGGTTTTATAAAAAAATCAAACAACATTTATTTCTCATTAAAAACCTTACAGTCACTTACATGAGAAATTAACAAATATGTAGGTAGGTAAATCACAAGTTGTCCAATAGCCAGAACAAGCAGATATACTTCTGCGGACTTAATCAATATTTAATATGTTTTACCAGCTCATGGACTGAAAAAGAACTGGAAGAAGGGGAATGGAGGACATTAGCGTTACAAAGGATGGCGAAAGTGCTCCGGACACATGTCATCAAGTTTGATTTTGAAGACGGAAAGACTCTCGATAAAGGTCAGACACACCATTAACATCTTTCATAGATTTTCTATATACGAATACTAAAGAGGAAAGATTTGCTTGTTTGAATTGAATAGGCTCCATAACTACTGGATTGATTTGAAAAATTCTTGCACAATTGCTTGATGAACACAGGCTATAAAATATTTTTAAAAGTCATCGCTCACCGGGTCAGCTAGTTATTAATGTTATTAAGCTGACGAGTTCATTTATTTGGTTAAATGCGCTTATCTCAGGAACTAACTGGTTCTATTTAAATAAAATATGTTTGTGTTAATAAGAGCAAAGCAGCAATGAAAATTTTTGAGAAAATATGAAAAAAATATTCAAATCAGTTACATGCGTACGAAGTCACAGGCACAGCTAGTTTATACACAAGTATATTTCTTTGCCGATAAGTTTTACATAATCTGGTTTTACATCCCAGAGAGACAATTGTTTTCACATTTGAAACGCTCAGGGATTTGCTTAACATAAAGTCCTTATGGAAATATTGATACAAAAATGAAATCATAAAGCTACGGCAAGGATAATGTACTAAAAATTCCTTCCTTACATACATTTCGGGGATTTGAGGTCGTATTTTTTGTGAGAAAAGTGGTTTAATATTACCAAATTTGTTCTAGGCAACGTGGAAACTGGAATTTGTTAATAAGTTAGTGCTAGAACCGCGTAATGTACCTACTGTCACTTTTGGGAATTCCTTGCATGAAACAATGTAAACAAAAAGGATAATTTGTCGGCCGTTTGGTGTAGTGGTTCAGAACGGACTACTATGCTGAGAGGTCCCGGGTTCGATTCCCGGCCGGGCAAAAGTTGAGATGATGAATTTTAATTTCTGTGACGGGTCTGGGTGTTACTATGTATAATATGTATGTATTTACAAAAAAAAGTATTTAACACTAGAGTGCTCGCGCCCCTAAATACTCCTAGAGTGCTCGCGCGGGTGACATATGTCCCCCATTATGATATGGGTTTATTTTTGCTAATCTTATTTAATACAAGTAAAACAATTTATAATATTAAACATCAACTATATTTCTTACTAAATAATTAAAAAAAAGTGAGAAATTATTTCATGAACTCTTATTATAAACCAAAAGAAATACTTCAATATTTTTCAAATATTTTAGAGTCGAAGAGACCAAAGTAGTTTAAATAGTCGTTTGACCCGTTATTTTGGCAAAAATATCACCTAATTAGAAAGTTAATCAATAGATTGATCTTATTCTGTGATATTTTGATCACAACTCGGGCACGATATGATTTGATGATCTGGACAAAAACGCCTATTCCACTTGTTATATTTGCTTACGAGTGCTTCGATTTCTTGCTCTTGTGCAATAAACACATCGTCCTTTGCCACAATACTGGCAAGTTTTGTGCTAGTTGGTGTTGTCGCAAGCCCAGAAGAATCCTGGTTTTTAATTTTACAGTCCTAGGTAAGTTATTACTACATTGCATACAATCTAAAACAACTACTTTCTTGCATCAGTTTATGCTTATAAAACAATATAATTATTGTAAATGTTTAAAAAATGGTTAAATATTATAACTTTGAGCTTACATGAAAGTAAACTTGATTTTAAACCGCGACGATAGGGGATCAAACAATTCCTCAAGTGCTCGCGCGGGGGACATGCGTCACCCAAACACTTTAAATGTTTTCTGCACTCACGTTGATGCGTCTAGCAAGATGGCGTTATTACTAAAATGTGCGACAATACATGCTCGAAGAATACATGAGAAGGCAGCACTGTAGCTCGATACCTTGAAAAAATATTTACAAATTTTACACCCTGGGTGACATATGTCACCCGCGCGAGCACTCTAGTGTTAAGTATGTATAATCCGTTGTCTAGTGCCCATAGTACAAGCTTTGCTTAGTTTGGGACTAGAAGCGTAGTGTAAAATGTCCAAGAATATATTTTTTAAATTTTATAATTACAAAATATCTTTTACAGTGGAATACCGAGGCCGACGGCGTCATCAAATGATGACCATGATGATGTTCGGTATAGTCTCCATCGGCATGGTGTTAGTTCCCATGGGCTTCCAATTCCTAGCCGTACTCGGCGGGAAAGCCTTATTGCTAGCCAAAATGGCGCTTATCCTAGCTTCTATCCAAGGACTTAAGAAGGTAAGCAAATCAAAATGTATTTCATATTACTAACAATACAAAGTCAAATTGAAATAACCCACGCGTTCTAACACATGACATTTTCTGATGACATTATTACTAACAAGTACAAAATTAAATTGAACCACATACAAAGTAACATAACAATTTAGAGCCTTACAAATCCTTAACAATGTGCTCTAATTTTTGTTTCATACGCATTACACAGACCTTTATTCTTTTTCGCCATTGTTTCTCGTGGTTTTAATAAAACTTTATGAAATATTATGGAAAGAAGAAACAGTGTACTGTAATTTATTAAGCTTGCGAACTAAGTTTGTTTGAAAGAAAGTGATTTTGCGCATACTTACAATATTATTAACACATCCATGTTTTTGTAATGGATGAATTTAACATACTAACCATAAAGTTAACATTTTCTTCTAGGTAGAACCTAATTATGATGGGTATCATGAGAGGGGGAAGGTATGAATTTACTTAACCAGACTCCATTTTATTTCTTTCTCTCCTTTCTCCTTAACCTGAAGTTAGTAGAAATTTGAATAACTCAATAGTGAACTGATTAATCATAATAATAACTTAAGTAACAGTAATAAATTAAATTGTCACCTACTAGGCTTAGAGCACATTACTAAAAATTCCCTTGGTAACCTGTTAACAGATGTTCTGTTCTAGATTGCTTCAAGTCCGGTAAACTACGGCTTCTACCACTCCTACCCATACGACCCCTACTACGAAAAGAGGAGCCGAGACGATTGGCCTCAACCTGGACTGATGCCCGCAACGCCACCTCCTTCGATGTCCGTACAAAACCCCTGGCCTAACAGTAACAGCCCAGTAGTTAAAATCGACCGATCAATAGAACACGGCAAGGATTTCAAGCACACTGACGTAGTGACGTGGAAGCCAGAGCTGCCTAAAGCTGTCAAGCAAGAGGCTGAAGCAAGGATATACCCAGTGTACCCTGGCCCTGATGGCACTCCGCCTATATTTACTTCTATCGACGCTCCCACTCCTCTTACTGATATAACTACTAGACCCGGAGATGTGCAGGCTGATTACGCATTGGAACTGCCCTACAATGGACTCCGTTTTCAAAGTCCCACTACTGTCGTTTCAGCTTGACGTATTTGTGCACCTGTTCCGCGCTCTGTATAACGTTGTGACCGGCATGTACTCATACTTGTCCCAAGTGCTATATCCTGATAGACATGTTTTTTATTCCTCATATTATTGATGTTTTAGTGTAGTAAATTAAATAAATAGTATTATTGTGGGCTTATATTTTATTTTCAAAATTTTCCTAGTAAAGTACTTTATGATACAGTAGAGTTTAGATCAGAGTTAACGTTAAAAAACTTCAAACCACAGATATGGATTAGAGTAGATACAGCAAGTTGATCGTCAAAGCGTGCCATTCCGATATGTCCAAATGGACATACATGGTCGAGTGATGTTCATGTAATCCGATTACAACAATCGGTTACGATGATTTTACGAGGACAGTAGTACGAACACGGTAGAAAGAAGAAATTATTTACGGATTGAGAATTGTAATTAACAGCACAAGTAACAAATAATTAATTAGAATAAAGTAGCAGTAGAAGAAGTATAAAGTAGCATTGTTTTTAATACATATCCTGCGATGTACTCTTAAGAGTTAAAACCATGGTCCCTGTATGTGGTGCACTCATACCGATCCCAAGGAACCGTACTTACTCATAACAATAAGACACACACTGATGCATGTATTCATGCACTTGACAAATTTATGTCTTGAAACGCTGGTAGGGTAAAAAAAATAACGAGATTTGATGATTTGTAAGAATTAATTTATTTTAAAAAGGTAAATAAAGATGTTTTTGATTTTGTATTTAACAAATTATCAGTTTTATCGGAATTAATTAATTTTCGAATCGAGTTGCACGATATCATTCGATGACTTTGCAAATGCAATACGATGATACGATTACTTTTACGTTGCGGCAATCACTAAAATTCGCTAAAATGACACTAATGACGTTTAAAAAGTGGCACGCTCGGTTTCATACAATTTTTGACACATGCTGCATCTATCCATATCTGTGCTTCAACCACACCAACGCGTGCAGATCGCGCCGGCGATGGCGATCTGCACGCGTTGGTGTGGTTGAGGCAACTCATTCAATCGTCATCCTAATTGAGTAGTATGCGCCATAACTCAAATTGAGATAGGACCCAATTAGGTTCGGTTTAAAAATATGGAGATTTTGTCTGATTCCGTGATTTATGCTTCATAATAACACCACTTTCCGTTGCCACTAAATTACAATACGTAGTAAGCATTTATTATACCTTCACGATACATTGTGTACGATACATTGAAATAATAAAGCAATGCATTAGTTATTAAAAAAATCTTTCACCGTTAATGTTAATAGTTAGTCGCTTTTATTGCTCGAAGTTGTTTCTAGTTTTACACTCTACACCGTCAACATAATGGACGTTAAAACCACATGACGTAGTTACCTTCTGTGTATTTCTGACATTTGCACAATAGTACGACAGCAAACAATGCAATTTATTATCTTTGCTCGGTTCATTATTTGCCTCTAATCTGACAAACGCAGTAGCTATTTACGTTAATATGGCATAGATTGCTTAGTTAATGTAATTGAAGAAATGAGAGCAAAAAAGTAGGTGTGTCCTTGTTTTACCTATGTGGGCCGACGGAACAATTTAGGTGTCTGTTGATTTATCTGATTACGTTAAGATATTGGCCTGTATCCTAACGCAATGCTCATATTATAAATGTAATTGTACATTTCCATACATCACTTGTGAAAAAAAGACTTCAATGCTATCATGTAATTAATCCAAAAAGCCTGCAATTTATAAAACTGTAGACATAAATTCTTCAATATAAAAGTCACATTAGGCTGCGTTTAGACGCTATTGTAGCATCTTCGTTTCAGACTTTGTGTGCCTGTTAGGTTTAGAATTTATTGCAAAACTGCCTTTACATCTCAGTTCACCTGTAAGTAAGATAAAGCCCCGAAACTACTGTCTTTATCAAAAACACATCATTTAGGATAGTCAGAAGTCAAACTTCTCTGAAATTAAACCTATCTCTACTTATTTCACTAAAATTCCTAAACGAACCAAACAGGCAGACAAAAATACTACTTTATTTTGTATTACGTATCGGGAAAAAATGTGTTGTTATTTTGTGAGGAAAAACAATTCGGATTTGATTATAGTCATTTCGTTTGTCTACATCAGATATGGATCAACTTGACCATAGGACAGGTTTAGTTTTAATGTGATTATTGTTTCCTTAGAAAATTTTAGAATGAAAACACGTAGAAATGAATCATTTAACAAGGAAAACTCTACGATTCACTAAAAGTAAAGTACAGTCGTCGTCTTTTCAGCCGAAAGACGTCCACTGCTGGACAAAGGCTTCCACAAAGACCGGTGCTGCGCCGCTCGCATCCAGGCACCTCCTGCGACCTTCACCAGATCGTCGGCCACTTAGTGGGAGGCCTGCCCACGCAACGTCTTCCGCTCGTGGTCGCCACTCCAGAACTTTCCTGCCCTGAAAAGTACAGCACAAATACTTAATTAAAATGCATACCTACTTCTATTTAAACATCTTGCTAAGCCAGACATAATGAAAATCTCCTTTTTGTTAGTGAAACTTTAATAATGTAGCAAGTCCATAAACTATAGCTAATATAACCGAGGTTGTTAAACCTTTATTATGACCATTATTAGCTATCCCACGGGGGCGAGCGAGTAAAATCAGTTTTCCTAGAGAAGGTTCATTGTGCGGATAAAAGTTACCAAAAATAATGATAATATTAATAATATCGTAAATAGCTCAAAAACCATGTTTTAGTAATGTTAAAATTAAGATTGCTTCAATCAGTTATGATTAGGTTAGAAATAGATGTTACCATCACAAATTCTCTACAAGAGTTGAATTGATCATGTTTGTAAGTGAATAATTTACATATAAATTACTAATTAGAACTGTCTATTATTTGTATAGTTAAACAAAATTTAAACCGGAGCTGAAAATTTACAAGTATAACCGAGGACTGAAACATACAAAACAAAAATAATTTATGCTTATAGATACATCTGCATATCTAAATTCTTCAACGAAGAGTTGATTGATCGGATATTGATTGCTCATTAATGAGATAAAAGGAGAGTGGGATTTTAATAGGTACTAAGTTGATGATTCCGATGTAATACGAGTATGATATTATAATGAAAGAATAGCTGTAAACTCATTCCATGCCACTAAAAGTTGGCTAGTAGTTCCTGTAAATAAGGTATAATTAAGAAATCAAATAGATTACAGCGATGTTTATAATGATTAAAAGACAGACTACATGCGAATCATTTAGTGTGCCAAGCATAGAAAACAACTGAACTGGAATCAACCATTGTTGATTTTCTTAATAACCAATGAAAGTTTCGAGAACTTTGCTCAAATCTCAATACACTGAACTAACAAAGTTATCTTGGATCCCGCTGAGATGCCAAAGGAGTTTGGATTGTTGTTTAATTACAAATGAAAACGGATATTTGGCATTTAAGAATATTAAAAAAATAAGAATAAAAATTCTAGGACCTATTAATTTCTCAGAATTAATAATAAAGTTAAACTACACACAATTTTTTTCTCAGGCTGGGTTGCACTATTTTACTTTTTAACTTTAACAAACGTCAAAAATCTGTCGAACTTCATACAAAAAGCACCGGTTATCGTTATAGTTACCGTTAAAGTTAGGTGGTGAAATTCAGCCTTGTTGTATTTTTTTTATATTTTTCTTTGATTGTAATAAAAAGTAAATATTTAGTTCAGCAGGCCTTAACACATTTATTTTTACGTTAAGCATAAACTAACTGAAAATATTTGCTTTCCTTTTCCTGTTTTTATTTCACATTGTTATCAGGAAGGTTAATATAATAACCGTGTTTTGACATGTTTTATCATTGTAAATCTCTAAACTACTAATCTAATTTTTTATCAATTATGTCATAAATAGAAAGTAGTAAAAAAGTAGAAATGTTCAGTAGTAAAATCGACAGTAATATCAGGCTATACATTTTTGTTACAAACAAAATAGCTTTTATTACAAAAAGATAAGACGTCACTATTTTTAGTTTGACGTCCTTATATTTATATTAAAAATGATATTGTCAAAGTTTTTATTTCTGACCAAATCTTAAGTAAATAAAACGTAAACCATGTCTCAATAGGAAATGATTATAGCGAACAAGTTTATTATTTACTAATTTTATCACTGAACAATAGCAAATATTTACCTTAACCTAAGTTTCAGAAGAGATTGCTCTTCTAAGTTGTTTTCTAGGAAACGAGCAATCATAGAGTCGGTTATTGGAAAGGATGTTAAGGAAATTGAGTAAGTGCGAAGTGGTGGCGCTGCGATTTGCAAACTTAGAGAGCTCACAGACGAGCGACTTAAATCAAATCAAATCAAATAGGGCACTTATACACTTCCTAAATATAGCTTGCTCTACTACCACTTCGGGACAACATAATATGGGCTGGTGCTGAGAATAAGCTGTGGAAGAAACTCAGTCACCTTTTTGCGATTGTGATTGGCGACGGTGAGTGACTTTTAGGCAACTGTCGGCGATTGTCGCCAACTTAAGTCCCAAGCAGTAACCGATATAATGTTGCTCGTTTGTGACCTTTGTGTTGTAGTTTCGGATCTTCGTCTTGTTCAGCTGAAATGATTTTTTAGAAAGAATATCATATGCGATCCAAGGAGTTTCAGATATTTTTCTATTGTCTGCAAATAATAATTAGTTGATATAAAATCCGGTAGTCCTGTTTGAATTAATTAAATGTTCTCGTAAACAATAACATCCGGGAGAGAACTTATGAAAATTAAACCTTAAGATATCAAAACAGATGGGATACCATGGAAAATCGGATTTAAAGTACCTTAACATTAAAAGGGTAAACAAAAAAGTAAGTACCTAATATATATTTTATAGTAAAATGGAATAGGTAACATACCTGTGTAATTTATCCAGGGCGTCAAAGACTGGTCTGGTAGACAAAAACTTACACGATATTTCAAACTGTGAAAGAGGAAGTGAAAAGAAGAAGAAGAAGAGGGATGAAAAAGCTAATTAAAACACTGTTTGTTACCAAAGACTATACCTACCTCTCGAGTTCACAGCATGCATTTGTTGTAATTAGTTCCCTACACCCTATATTTTATGGCAGACAATTACGCGAACATTAATCGTACATATTTGCTGAATAAATAACGATAAGGTAACGCTCGTGCTGTGCACTTGATAACTCTCTCGAATTTCTTCAGAATACTTTACGACTGTCATTAAACGTGTTCTACGTTTACGTGGAACGTTATCACGCGATATAAAAATATTTCTCGTATGAACACGCGGAATTATTATTATTGCCAGTGATTTATACTCTTTTATTGTCACTTTAAGCTTTAAAGTCATAAATAGTTTTCATTATCACGTTGTGCAAAACAAGATCATACTTGGATAACGCCTTTTACATTATTGCTGGCCGCTTACAAAAATTTAATTCGTTTGAAAAAGGTTAGTTTGACTTAAAAAAATTCGCGTTCTTTTTTCTTTTGTTTTTAAAAACAAAATATGACTTTTGACTGTAATAGTGCAAACTTTTTTCGCGGAAGTGTTGCTTGTGGGAGTGTTAGTTAAAGCGCAGAGCCGGGTGCGCAGTAACGTTTGGCACCCCTATAAAGGGATGGGGGTTGGTCCCGCGCCATTCACAAGTTTCCCAGCGCCGCCGAAGCTCGCTGGAGAGCTTTCCATTGAACTTTTGTGAGTGCAACATTTGTGTCAGCGTGATGAAAGCGTTTTTCTTCCTGGTTGTTGCACTGTTGGCGGGCGAGGGCATCAATGCGCTCCTTTTGCCGGTAAGTTTGAAAGTTTTCAAAGTTTTTAAACAAAAAAAAAATAAAGCAAACTTGAACAGAGTTATTTGGTTTCCTTGTAGTAGGTAACTTTTTGTTATTTTTCCAAATAATTGACCATGCAGGTTTGCTATTTCTTTAAAATCGTAATCTATGATGACTTTTTGAAACAATTTAAGGAAATAGTTTCTTCCACATAAATTAATGATATGATTTGTGTTTTGTGGTAAATAGATTTTAAACTTGGCCTCCAAGTTTACTAACTACCGCCAGATGTGAACGTAAAACTTCAGAAACACGATTTGTCGCAATACACGACAAGTTTGTCAAGTTGTTACCTATTTGAAAATCATATCTTGTAGGTGTAGCAAAATGTTTCGATTAAGAAGTTAAAGTTTTCAATATAAACTTTTTTTATTTATTTATTTGATTTTTTTACCATAAGATAAGATAAATTTATTGAATAAAAACTTAGCCTAAATACAAGTAACTTAAATTTATTAATGTAGTGAAATGGATCGGTACCTTAATGACAATTTTCACGAGGGAGGATTTTTTTTGTATTAACGCGTGGGCTACATACGTAATATGTAAATTAAATTAATTACACAAATTCCACATTTGAGCCTGCAACCGGTTTAACAACGATCAAGTTTCAGTCCACGTCGTGGCAAAAGCCACTTTTTTCAAACGTTCCTCACAACCGAGTAACAAAATGTATGTAACATACTGTAACTTAATCGGATGGGCGATTAACTGGGGCAAATAGGCTGGGCACGTAGCACAAAAAATAAAAACCGATCAGAATGAACGATTCTCGGATAGAGACTACGCTAATCGCCTTCTAATGAAGGGATTTTTAAAAGAGAATTCTCGCCTAAAATAATTATAGGGGGAAATAAATCAGCCAGCTTCATCAAGCAACGAGAGGTAGGGGAAAGTAACTGTACGAGTTGATCCCCTGGGGTAAGATGATCCTTCGCGATTGTGCTGAAACCACTAACGTCATTTAGTTTCTTTAACTGGTAAAACATAGCTCTGGACACCTCCCCGCCTCAGTCAAATCGTAATAGTGGCGTACTAGAGAATTAAGGAGCCGTTCTATGAATCGAAGTTGTATGGCAAAAAATCGCTGATAACTTTTAATGTATGGTGTAACTGCTGATGTGGCAATCAGTTATAACAGAATATTAATAACATTACTGCAAGTCGGAGGTCTAACTTGCAATAATGTTACCAATAAGTCACAGTTAGAATAAAAATTTAAAAAGCCTTTCCTACAAATGTGTGTAAATAATATTTTATTTACGCAACCAACCTTAAAAGTATCATTCTCAAAAATCCTTTTATTTCATAACGTACAAACATTGAAACAGATACTTTTTAGCCTTCCAGTAAAATATTCGGTGAAATAAATACGAGTACCTACTCGGAAAAAGCTATGAATTCTGCCTACGGTTTACCTACCTATATTACCTTGAGAGCTATTTGTTAATTATTTATTAATAGCACATTGCTAAGTTCAGTTATTGGATAAAGGATAACGAGAATTAATCCATTTGTATCTGATCTTGTTACCTATTAGAGGTAATCCGTCAGAGTTAATTGATTTAGTCCAATCATAGAAACAAGTCGAATCTGAAGTTAAATAATGTAGGTAGATGTTTAGAGCCGATTTTTCAATCATGAGATAATTTTTAGCAGCAAAAAGTAAGTGAAAAGATTGGTAGTTTTGTAAAGAATATAATGACAAATCTTCTTTCAGAAAATAAATGTACTTATTACGTACTAAAATCTGACTAACCATTACCATGTCATTAGACTGTTACTTTACACGTATTTATCATAAACTAAAAAATACTTCTTCTCACTAGTGCTTTGCAGCAAACTTATTTTTTTTAAGAATTATTGACAGATTTGAAGAGATTCTATTATACTCGTACTCGAGCGAAAATAATTGAGTTTTTCAGAAAATGAATATCAGTGCATTTTCAAAGACATTCTGCAAGTCTTATTTAAAGTACTTCATTAGTATTCCTATTACTATTCCCAGTTCGGGAAATTTGTTAAAATGAATGACAGAACTGTAAACTGAATTCGAGTCACGTTCTCTTCTCTTTAAGACAAATATTGTGAAACCCTATTTAATGCAAATAAATTATATTTGATTTTGATTTTTGATTTGAAATCACTTCTGTTGTATCAATATTACGCGTAGACAGCTGTGAGCGCTATCCATCAGTGTAATGGCAAACTAAGGATGAGCTGCACCATCCTACTTTAACTTTGACAAACGTCAAAAATTTGTCAAACTTCATTAAAAAAGCACCGGTTAGGGTTATTGTTACGGTTAAAATAAGGTGGTACAACTCAGCTTAAGACATCAATATTACGAATTTATAAATAAGAAATTCTTTGTTAAAGTTTTACGCCTAAACCGTTGATCAAATTATGATTAATATTTTTTCACTCATAAGAAATTTAAAAAGTCACAGTATTAGAATCGCAAAAAGTCTTGATATAATACTTATATGTAAAATGGGAGGTGGGAATAAAAATGTATTTCTTCTGTTCGAGAATACGTACTTATCGGAAGTTTTTATAAAGAAGACAAGAACTCGACGTATAGGAACTTACTGTGAATTTTATTGAGTAGCTTTAAGTATGATTGAAATATTTCATCTCGTTTACAACTTTGAAAATCCAATAACCTTGTTCGTCACTTGTTTGAAAATTGTATTGACTAATGTTCAATTACTCGCATTTGTGTTTGAACAAGAGTTGTTTAAAGTTACAAAGAGCAGACAACAAAGTTTAATTTGTATTTTATTTATTTGTTTATTAGTAAGCCACACTTCAGTACTGGAATTTAAGTAGCGTAAGATTTTGTATTTTACTTTGATGTCAAATTACACTTGATAAATTATAATGACTTATTTTCCGTAGGTACAGTGAAAAACAAAAATATCCTTAAAAAATTCAAAAATAGTGTTAGCAAGTTAGCTGTGTGGTTCCGGTAGAGTTAGTTTTTAATTCCACCCTTACCGTGGATGTCGTAATTAAAAAGGTGCCAAGGGATATAATAATTATGCGAACATGAGGCCTCCCCAACCCTACACTCCCCAGCGTGGGAAGTATACGCCAATCCTACATTTCATTAGGGCTGCTTCTAAAAAACTAAATTGTGGACCATACTTAATATTATATCTGAGAAGTTTGTCTGTAGGATATTTTTGAAGTCAGCTGTACCAAAATAAAACATGATTCATAATACCAAAAGCCTACTTTTGACTAATTGCTTTTGTGAAACAAGCCGTGGCATATAAACCGCGGTGAACAGAAGTGATTAGGGCAAATATCGTCCTTAATCATAATTACCTCAATTAGAAGCTTTTGCTCTGCCTCGTCGACCCCATTATTTTGAATTAATTTCTGCTCTTACAATATGTATATTGCCGAAGTTTTATTTATTACTAGCTTTCCGCCCGCGGCTTCGCCCGCGTGGAATTTTGTCTGTCACAGAAAAACTTTATCGCGCGCGTCCCTGTTTCAAAAACCGGGATAAAAACTATCCTATGTTCTTTCCCGGGACTCAAACTATCTCTATGCCAAATTTCATCAAAATCGGTTGCGAGGTTTAAGCGGGAAAGCGTAACAGACAGACAGACAGACAGACAGACAGAGTTACTTTCGCATTTATAATATTAGTTGGGATCAATTTCGGGGAATATTTTAAGCGTAACCTTAATTAAGTTAATTATGATTAATGTATATTCTGTTCCTATCCTTCTAAGATTGTTTTTATCTAAGGAATTTATTTATAGCATGTGCCAACAATTGGATTTCTATTGAGAAAAACTTATAATGTATGAAAGAACGTATTTTTTTGGGGAAGACTTATAATTTTCCTACAGACAAAATCGTGGAAGTCTTTTAGTCTAATCTTTCGCTGAACGTTTGCTGCTCTTCGAACAATAAGTAAACTCGCGAAGCAAACATTCTCTGTGTGCAGCACTGCATTCGTTTTCGGTTATATTTTTTCTTTTCTATAGATAATAATGTTAAACCACAGGCAACATTTGTAGGATGTTTAAATACTTATATGTTAACTTGTTACTATTTCATATCATAATATTTCACGCACAACACTTATACTGTAAATATTATGAAAGTTGTAATGATAATAAGACAATAATGAAGGTAAACGTTTTAAATTCATATTTTATAACTACAACTACAATTCATGTAAACATAAATGATCCACACGATAAAAGTCAACATGACATTGTGTATCTTATGTATCTGCTATGTTGACAAAATACACACTTCAGTAATAATTTATAGTCGGTATTGGTACTCGAGATGTTCTTTTCTAATTTTTAATGAAATTCTTATTTGAACAAAGAATTTTGCAGGGATATACTTGTGCTCGTATGTATTTGCCAACCCTTGTATACAAATTGTTACTGCCTCAGGAAGGTGAATTACTGCTTAAGTGATGTGCAAACGTTAGTTCCTCTCTCGCTCGATACGTACTGAGCCTTTGATAGAAACGAATTTGTATGAGATACGAGGTGGCACCATCTGGCAGAGTGTAAACAAAATAAGCTTTATGTATGAGAAGAGGCGTTATTGGATTCGAAAAAAGTGCCGACTCTATCGACTGCAAAGGGTTTTTACTCCATAATATTGTTCTCTACGGTGAAAGTCACTCATACCCTATAATGTTGTTACTTACTCTACGAGCTCAAAATGTACGTAACTTATATCTTGGCTGAAGATAACTTATTTGTACCAACCCTGTTATAGCAGGTCACAACACAATATATCGAAGCTGCTAAGACTCTATTGAGGCAAAAGAGTCACCCATCAAAAATAAGCTACAAAACAAAACTTTGATCACCAGGCGTTAAACTTTATTCACGTGAGGAAGGAATAAAAAGTATTTTGTTATTTGACTGACATACTTTACCTATATCTAGCCTACCTAAACATAATAAGTA